GAAATTTATAAAATACATAAATTTGAAACTTTTTAAAATTTGTTATTTAAGATCTTTTTAAAATTAAAAAGAAGTTAAAAAATGTAAATTTATAAAAAAGAATTTAAACTTATAAAACATGAATAATATAAAAAAACTAAAACTCTTACAAGTTCAATCAAACATACTCATAATATCATTTAACAAAAGAACTTCTCTATTGAGAAAATGTTGTGTAGTTTGGCTACACAACATAAATTATTAGAGAAAAGAGCCTTGAATGCATGGGCAGTCCAAACTACATAACATTGATCTTATTCTCTATTTGTAGATAAGAAAACCTTGAACGCAACTACAACCCAAACTGCAAAATATTGATCTGTTTCTCTATTTGCAGTGCATAAATTAAATAACTGGCAAAAAAAACATAAAGGCGTCAAACAACCGCAAAGAGTCTGTGACCAAATTAAAGAAAGGGTAAAAAGTATTTTGTACCACAAAAAAAAAAAAAAAAGGAAAAAAAAAAGGACCACAAAAGATATTATCATCATGGTTGAATTAATGTATTTCTGCATATCCACCACATGGAGGAAAGCCAAATTCATCACCATTCATATGTCATAATCTGTACATCCACCACATGGAAGAAAGCAGAATCCATCGCCATTCATATATCATGACAAATGCGCGTCTCTAACTCTGGTGAGATTCAATAATATGGAAGTGTCCTTTTGAATGTGAAATTCAGAATATAAGTTTTAGAATCAGCACAAAAGAAATGTAAGGTTTCTTTTAGATCGATTAAGAAAGGATTTATAATACTTTAAATCCGGACTCACGTCAATAAGGAATTATAAGTAAATCAATGAATTTGGTATATAAATATGGAAACCAATAAAACTAACAACTTAAATTTAAGTTTTGAGGACCGATAAATCTTAAGTTAAAGAATTACTAAGTTAGTAGTAAATTTTGATACGAGTCATTTTAATTGATATAAGAGCAATCAATTCTCATTAGTATGGGCCCATCATGGTTTGTGGTAGTCCAACTAGGACTAGGTTTTAAAGTGGTAAAAAATTGACCCAAAAACACTCATAAATACCAAAAAAATAAATACATGTCTTATACAATGGAGAAAGCCAAGTGTTACGTGATTAAGATTGATGGGCTCATATGAAGAAACTGCAAAGGAGGATAGAAATTCGACACGGGTACAGTGTGACACCATATGGCAAACGCCCAAAACTCCGACATGGACGTAGTGTTGACACATATATCAGGGGTTGACACCATACAAAAGGTTACTCTGCTCATGTAATATGATACCTTTCAAGTTATGATATTTATGGGTTTTGGGTACCTCTTGTACTCCGTTTATTAATAAATATTATTTTTTGTTATTCAAAAAAAATAAATATATACATGTCTTTACATGTATATTTTGTAAAAATTGACTAGTATATCCTCTAATTTAACACATTATATAACACTCATTAAAATGTTATTATTTTTTATTTGAAATTAAACATAAATAAACTTAAAAATACAATCATACATACAATATATAAAAATTAGCTATATAGGCTAAACTTATAGTATATTTTAATAACTAAATTAGATGAATGTCGAAAGTTGTATCGGATTAAAGAATACATCAATCATTTTCCTATTTTGTACGACATATATGTCATCCATACAAATATTTGGACAATATAGAATGCTTGTGGCATGTTATGCTGGCTAACACAATAACACACTAGTAACTAGGGTTGTTAATGAGTTGTCTAGTATCTAGGTACTTGTGTTTGAGTTTGAGAATTTATTAAGCTCATCCTCAAACTAGCAAATATCCAAGTGAGTTCAAGTTTGCTCAAATAAAACGAGTACTTTAGTTTGAATTTGACTTCTTTTTATTTTTTGTAATTCTAAATTGTTTCAATGGCAAATCAATCAATTATAAATTTTTCCATATTTTTAAGAAATATTGTAATACCAAATGCTTAAACAACAACGTTATATTTAAATCTATAGTAAAAAAAGAATCATAAACTCTGTTTGAATATTTTTATTAATAGTTTTAAAAAACTCAAAATATATAATTTGTTTAATTTACTTTTTTAATATTGTTAAGTTTAGAAGTTATCATATATTTAAATTTAATAAATACAATTATAATATAATTTTTAATTCTAAATTAGGAGTAACTCAAGAGTAATTATGTAAATTCAAGCTCAATTTTTTTTTTCAGACTTAATTTATTTATCAAATGAATTGAGTGCAAGTTAAACTCAATTTGAATAACTCGAGTTATTTACAAATTACCCTTGTAGCTAACAACCCTACCAGTAACCTTAAATATAACAAAAAATTTAACATAAGATAGGAAAGAAATCAAATGAAAGCGTGCCATAAATATATTTCAACTAATATATACATATTGATTTTGTTAAAAAATTTATTCTGCTTTACGCCATAATATAGAAGATCAGGCAATGAGTCAGATTCTGATTTCGGACATATCTCTTAACATTGTAAAGTTTCGGTGCATGATTAACTTGTTTTGGCCGAATATATACTCTCTCTCCATCTCTCGTGTAATAATAGTAAAATTTTTTTAAAAAATAATTTATATGTTATTTTTAAATTTAGTGGTTATCTTATTTTATCGAAGGAAAAGTATATTAAATTTGAATCGCATGGCATGTAAATAAGATAAGATAAGAGATGATTGACTTTTATTATGTAATCAAGATAAAAAAAATAAAGTTAAATTTTTTTTTAAATAAAAAATTATTATTTGAAAATAAATTTTAAATTTATAAAATGCCTATCATTTCGAGATCAAGGGAATAGTGATCACCTAGTCCCTTTGTATAGTTTGTTTGGCTAATGATGAAAACTCACGTTCTTATCAAACATGGGTCAGGTTTTGTCTGTGGGCCACTACTTATCTAATCCGTCCAGTTTCAATTCTCCGAGCCATTTGTGTTTCTATTTCAGCATGATTTGCATATATAAAACTATATATTACACCGAATTTTTGCTGTCTCTGAATCAGAGATCTAGGAATTTGGTCGCAGACTGCAGGCTTGCTAGATTCAATTCGTTCCTCTTGTGATTTTGATTTGCTTCTTCCCTTTATATGCATTTTCGATATTAATTTGTTCAATCTTCCCTTTACGGAAAAAAAGGAGGTAGCACCTTGTAGAGGGTCTAAATCTAAGTTCTCAATTTCCTTTTAAAGAGAAAAATTCTTTTATCAGGGTGAGGAAATTCATTGGGATACTTTTAAATGTAATATATTATATTAAAATTATGTAGTTTGAATAAAATATTATAAAAAATTATTTTAATTTATATTTTAAAAATAAATTTTTTAAAAATTTATTAAAATAATATATTTTTAAAAGATATTATTTTCATAAAAATATTATAATTTTAATTTTAATTATTATTTAAATATTAAATACACTTGATAATTCGCCCAAGGACCTGATGTGATGAGACGAATCGTTCGATCGGCTTCACTTCTGCCACACAAATAGTATTATGTCCTTTTCCTTTACGTAACGTGTCAAAGCTTTAATTGGTTGTTACCTTAATCAGAAGTGAGTCTACACGTGTTGTCTTGTCTACTACGACTTGTTTTGCCAAAAAAAATAAAACATGTCTTGTCTAATCGAATTGGCCTACCTGCCACTCAAAAATGAGGTTCGGATCAACCAAAGAAACTTTTACTTGTTTCTTCCGGATTCTTCTCTTTTTTTCTGGTTTTTTTTTTTTTTTTGATAAGGGTAATAATTAAAAAGTTAGTAAAATTAGATATTAACAACTGAAATTTCTCAGAATAATGAACATTCCACCTCTCAAATGAGACGCACAATCATTAAATCACAAATTAATGAAATTCACAACAGTAATAAAATTCAAAACTTTGACCTCCCGCCTCACCCAAACCCTAAGACTTGGGGCCAACCACTGAGCCACAAATTAACAGTCAAGCGTTTTGAGTCCTTTTTTTTTTCTTTATTACTTTGAATTGCATTAAAAAAAAAGGGCCAAAACTTATGTTAAGTTTTTAAATTAATTTTTAATTTTTAATTAAGTTGTTATCTTTTTAAGTAAATAAAATTTTAAACTTTGTAATTTAAATAATTTATCCTCTTTTTTATGACAAATTTAATGATTGTTTTTTAATTTTTTTATGTAGATAAGATATTAATATATTATTATTTATGTGATGAATATTGATCATAATTATATAAATAAGGTACAAATAAATATTAAATTTATTATAACAAAATAGTTAAATTGCTTACATCAATAAGTCTAAAAATTTATTTATTTTAATAAAAATTTAAGAAATTAATTTAGAATTTAAGATAAATTCAACTTAACATAGAGTTTTGCCTATAAAAATGCAACCTAAATTATGAAAATATTAAAATTTTGCTTAAATCAACCAACGGAAAAAATTAATTTATGAAAGGCACATATGAATAATTTTACAATTCAAAATACCATTTCCTTATATATGTAATTCAGAACGAAAAAACATGTTTGAGTACTATGTGGTAGTACTAATTAATTATCACAAGTATAAAACGTACAAAAAATCTACCAAGATTTCTTTTTTTTTTTACGTTGAGAGTGAAGTTCAAATCCAATAATTCTAAACATAACATGAGAAACTCTTTACAATAAGATTGTGGCCACTAGTGGTGCATTTTCATCTACCAAGAATTAATTAAGGTATTGTCAAAATAATAATAATAATAGTAATTAATTATGGTAGGAATGTTGCTGATGAAACTCACGAATCCTCGGACTGGCACAGACTGTTAATTACTAAGAAACAGGTTAGGCGTAACAACCCTAGACAAGTTGATATATTTACACGTACGTCAACCCATAATTGTTTCGAATTCAACAGCTTGTTCATATCAAAACACAACCAGGTCTTAATCAAAATAATTGGAGTGATCTTGCTGCTGAATGATGTTCATTGCCGGGATTCTTTCTTATCGGAAATCGATTAGTTATATGACCCTTAACTAATTTATTAATCAATAATTAACATGATATATATGAATATGAATATATATACTACTCCTTTTATTTTTAAAATAATTGTGATTTTTTAATTAAGTTTGTTTTAAATTAATTATTATTTTTTAGATTTTAAGAGAAATAAATTTTTTTCTTTACTTTAATATTATTATTGTATATTTATTTTGATTAATAATCATATTACAAAAGTCTTACTTTATTTTTTAGATTTTTAAAAAAGATAATATAAATAAATATATAAATTATTTTTAAATGTTTAACTTTATAAAAAAAATGATAATTATTATGGGATAGAGGAAGTATATCACAATAAATTTCCACAAAAATATGTATTATTAATCCAATAGATAAACATTCTATGTTAGAAAAAAAAAATCTGTCATAATTATCATCGCAAAAGAATTCTAAAGGTAAGATAAAAAAAAAAAAATCTTCACTACAAAAAATCTCAATTGTGATGTCATTTTCTAGTGCAAATTATCATAATAAAAAGCATTGTAAATGTCATTTTAATACAATTTTAATATAAACCATTATAATAGAAGGTGTCACAAAAATAATTTTTTAAATATTTGTGATCAATTTTAATCTTAATTAATTTTTATTTAAATTATATTCCATTCATTTAACTTTAGTACACATAAGTTTTTTAACCACCAACTTCTCAACTTGATTACTTCCATTTACATGATCATGAAGAAATGAATATGTATATACTTATGTGCTAGATACAACTAGAACATATTTATAATGTTAATTTATATATCCTCGATGATTTGAAAGCACAATGCTTTATAGATTCGCCACATTTTATAAATGAAAATCACATGTTAACCACCCTAACATCAAGTAAAAAAAATAAAAAATGTGCAACTTAAAATTATAGTGCATGCAATGTAGGTCCATGAGTATAGAGCATCTATGAGAGGATAAACCTTTATGATATTTTGGCGTTTTTCTCAGTCAACAAATCAAACATTAGACGTATTCAAAATTATTGTCTATTTTAAATTACCAAGCTACCCTCTTTTGTCCCCAAAAAAACTTATGTTGAATTATTTTCATGGGGGAATCCGATCTTGTCGAACGAAGGAAACAATCCAAATGTCACGACGCCGCGTATTTTCTTCTGGACAATCATTCGCGGTAGGATCAGAAGAAAGACAGAAGTAGGTCCCACATTTCAGGATAAACCTCACATCAATGTCCATAATTGGAGCGAGGTAAACTAGGTAATGGATTTTTCTGCTTTAAAATTACATATATTAA